TTGAAGATAGAGATAAAAAAAATATTAATAAAGATCCTTCCGATTTAAAAAGAAGTTTATAATAATATCTTAAATTTAAAAATATTCGTAAAAATATTATTAATATTATTAATAAATATTTAAATAATTTAATTTATATAACCATAGACATCAGTTATAAATGTAGAAGCGAAGACGAGAGTGCTCGTGATTGATGATATTGGTTTTGATTAAATTTAAAAACTTTTTGTTTTGTAAAGATTATGGAATGTTTAGTAATTTAAACAATATTAAATCGTTTTATCTCGTTAAGAAGATCGTTATTTATTGAACGATTGATTAAATTATACATTAATTCGACTAAAAATGAATGAAAATCAACAGGTTGAAGCAAGTTCGTGTGAAAATGAATCGGTTCATGAAAAAGATTCGAATTCAAATGATGCTCTTCAAGTATCTGTTAATGTTGAGAGTGATGATGATTCATCTTCGGATTGGGAACCAATAGTATCACCTTTAAAGCGCTTTAGAAGAAGACAATATAGATCAAAAAAGAAGAAAAATGCCTCTTATTTAAACTATGAACTTACAAATGCCTATAATATAATTCAGTATCTAATGTCTCCTACTATTAAAAGTGCTAATCGACCCTTCATGGAAGAACGTTGTTTGGATGGTTCAAAAGAAGTTAAAAGATCCATGTGGTTAGGAAAAGGTGAACGAAGATAATTTTGCTTATCGAGTTAAGCTAGGTTCACGTCGGCGTACCGACCGTAGATTCGACGAATGTTCGTCCGTTCGTTAGGAGTTGAAACTATCTCAGCTCGCGATAAACTTCGGTTTTGTTTGATTGACGAATTTTTCATCTAGCGTTCGAAATCTTTTCGACTAATCGCATTATAATTTGGTTTTTGTCTTGTTCTATAAAGCAAACTATGTTTCGCTTTGATTAGTGTTTCTTTCGTTCGTTCGTAGCGGTTTGTATGATGGTGTGAACCTAGCTTTAAAATTTGTATATGAAACGTTGCGTAAGGAATATGTCTTCTTCGGCATCCGTGGTAAACTGGATTATATTTGTTAAACAAGTTTAATATTTGACAATGTTAATATGTTTTAATATATGTTTGTAATATGTACCAGATTCAATCTAAGCACTCTTCCAGCAATGGAAATTATGTCTGACAAATGGTTTTGACTACATTGTCTGGTCAGACATCTCCATTGCTGGAAGAGTGTTTGGGTCGACTCTCGTATGTATTTTGTTAAGTTCCAGCTTTAGAATTCATATTTTATAAATGTTTGCTGTGAAATTTCTTTAATTGTCTGACCGAGATAAGTTTGCTGAAACAAAAATGTTCAAACTTCCAAAGATTGGTAGTATAAGCCAAAAAGCATTTAGAGTTCAACTTAAGTTTAGATTTGTTTTGGTTTTGCTTCAGAAAAAAGATTTTAGTCAAGTTAATGAGTAAGATTGGTTATTTGAAACTGCGTGGATGATTGTTTCAATATAAATAAGTCTTGCAGATTATATGGTTAACTTATATATTGTTTCTCAAATTTCATAAATTGTCTACCTTTATTTCTATTATACTATTGGTAAAAATATCTCTGTGTACTAATACTTTTACATAACTTATCCTAAACATTGAATTGACTAGTTTAACTTCTTATAATAGCTATATAATAGGACATGAAAACTTAAAATAATAATAATAGACCAAAATGCTTTCTTAATGTTTTTTTGCTGTTAATAACCATAATAATTTCTCATGTGAATTGATAAAAATTGTAAGTGGTAAGTTTACGTATAATATGTTCCTTTCTTTTATTTATTTTTCTCATTGGAAACAATAATTTTTTACATTTAGTCATTGTTGACATGTCACATAAGATGAGTAAATTCATCTGTTATATTAGCTTTTCTAATGATTATGTAAACCTATCAGATGTTATGTACTGTACATGCCAATCTATGTTAGAAAAAGTTGAGGTTGATATAAGATTAAAAGAAAGCAAAATTTTATATATTGTTGCTCAAACTTGCAAAATATGATTCATAATATATAAGATTCATAATAAAAATATAAGAAATTTCACTTTGTTTATTAAAACAAGTTAAATGAGCATCCATGCTTGTTTAACCAAATATAATCCAGTTTATGATTTTATGAATCATGGTTGAGATATTTAAATAATACTTTAAATGATATATTAATGTAAGCCTAATGATTCACTGTTCTGTTGATTTAAGTACAGGTGAAAACAGAAGTTTGTATGATAGAGAATTTCATGCAATTGATTCATGCAATATTTACATTAAACTGTTTTTTTTTAATAATTTTACATAAATATTTACTCAAAAATAAAAAGTAAATTGGATAAACATGTTCAAAAATAATCACAAAAACATTAAACAATAATAAATTGTAAATTATTATTGTCTACTAGGACTTCTTTATATTAAGAGGACTTATTATGCTAGTATGATCTATAGGACAAAAAAGGACACAATGGTCCAAAACAAAAAAAGATGTGTTCAGGTAAAACAGATAAAAATCAAGAAATTCTGTTTGAATTTTGTTTTAATAAGCTTCCTCAGTATGTAATTGCCAGATGCCAGTAAAATAAGTCCTATTAATATTGGACAATACATGGAAGGCCTAGTAGACAGTAATAATTTAAAATATTACTATAAAATATAAAAACATTCCATGCCAAGCAATGTTACAAAATTAACAAAAACTCTTTGTGGGAATTATTCACATGAAGCATATCAAAACGTTGAATGATATAAATCTCAAGATCAGTTTTATTAGTTCAGTTGTGTTGTAAATTTGTAAAACAGTATTAAGGACATAGAGGCATAATCACTTAACAATAAATTATACTGGATATTTAAAGATTTTTATGATTATTTATGAATATTTATTTGTAATAGTTATGTAATTAAACTTATTAATTTCTCTATATCATTAATATTTATAAAGTTTAATTTTCGTGGATTTAATTTATATGAATTTGAAATTATATATATATATACATACAGTGGTGCCTCGTATAACGTACTTAATCCGTTCCAGGTGCATGTCCGTTAAGTGAAAAGTCCGTTATATGAAACACATTTTTCCATAGAAATACATGTTAAAACATATAATTTGTTCTGCAGCATAAAATAACCATACTGTACCATAACAAAAAAATGAAAATGGAGCAGTCACCAATTATGCCAGGTAGTCAGATGTTGTGAGGAGGAGGTGGAGGAACACTTTCTTCACACATTCATACAGATACAGATACATTGCAGCAGGTCTCTTTTTATTGTTTTTTAATTGGAGTCAGATTCAGGAGAGGCTACCGGAGCTTGCAGGGTCAGCTCCTCTTGTTCCATCCTTTGTTTTTTGCCTGCTGGCTTCTTGAAAAACATGCCCAAGGTGGTCTGTTTCTCTCTCTTCTTCAACACCTGTCGGAAATGACGGGCAAGGGTGTCATTGTAGAGATCATTGATACTGTTGGCCTCAGCTCTGTTTGGATAATGAGTGTTGGTAAACTCCTGAACCTCTCCCATTCGGCAAGGAAGTTGTTGTCAACTTTCACTCCTGATGATTTCTGGCTTTGTTTCAATTGAAATCACCTTTCTGTTTTTTTTTTTAGAAGCCATGATTTGTACAACACTTGAATAAATGTATATACCCTGCACTGAGGTGATGTATGTAATAAACAAGGGAGCAAGCCAAATCCCAATGGGAGCTCTGTACTTCAGATATACTAGTAATATATTCTAATAATAATAATATATTATAAAAATAGCAGATTGTCATTGGCAACAGCAAAAGAGTGGAAACATCATTCGCACTTGTTCGCAGAAAGTCCGTTGTTTGCAGCGACCGTTATTCGAGGCATACATTATACGAAGCACCACTGTACTTTCATACATACACAGTATTTATCTATTTGGTTTATGGTGTCTGACGTCACCTTCCAATCTTCAGGAACCCTCCATCTCTCTCTATCCATCCACCATTCATCTTTAATTCCTTTTTCACTACATGCTAACTTTACTCTGTTGTACCAAGTTTGTCTGGGTCTTCCTCTCGTTTTCCTTTTTTGTGGATTGTATCCCATTGACATTTTCAGGAGTCTCTCGTCACTCATTCTTTTCAGATGTCCAAACCAAATAAGTTGTTTTCTCTTTATTTCTTCCAAAACCATCTCCTTCAATCCCATTAGGTCTTTGATCCTCTCGTTAGTTATTCTTTCTCTTTTCGAGATTCTGCACGATCTTCTCAATGCATCCATTTCAACCATTGTTACTTTTCTCTTCTATTTAACTTTCTAACACACCGGGTTGAATATAAAACTTCTTACTTGTAACCAATTAACTGGAGTGACATTCATTTTTAAAAACGAATGTCGCTTTGGTTAATTGGATACAAGTAAGAAGTTTTATACTTTCCTCTTTTTTTTCCCTAGTCATTCTCCATGCCTCCATCCCATATAACAGAATGCTTTTAACAATAGCATTATATATATATATTTTTCTTGATCTAGTTATTTCTTTACTCCACTATATTCCATTTAATCTTTTAACTGCTGTCTTACCTTGTGCTAATCTTGTATTAATTTCTAATGTATCTTTTCCATCTTGATGAATTTGTATTCCAAGATAATTGTAATGTTCACATCCCTCAATCTTTTCTCCTCCTTCCAGCTCCATGCCTGTTTTAGCCCCTCCCATGCATAAATATTTTGTTTTACTCATGTTTATATATAAACCTACTTTAAAATATTCCTCTTTTATTTTTCTTGTCATGTATTCTAGATCATTCTTACCCTCTTATTATCACCTGATCATCTGCAAATTGCAATATAAACATTGGTTTACCATTAATATCTATTCCCATATTACAACATTTCCTTTTCCATATTTTCAATACTCCTTCTATGTAGATTTTAAATAAAGTTGGTGAGATACAACATCCCTGTCTTACTCCTTTTGATACCATAAATCCTTCTGATATGTTTTTCCAATTTTTATTTTCATTATGTATTCTCTATACAATTTTTTAACTGCTTTAATAAGTGTGTTATTAATATTTATCTTTTTTAATGTCTCCCATATTTTGATATTGGGACATTATTATATGCTTTCGTTAAGTCTATAAACAACAAATGAGTTTCCTGTCCTGTTGCTAATGTTTTTTCCATAATCTGTTTTATACAGAAAATATTGTCCATACACGATCTTCCTGTTCTGAATTAACTCTGTTCTTCTTTTTCTTTTGTTTGATATTCTTCTTCGATTAGATATATTATTATTTGTCCATGTAATCTATTAAATGTTGCTGTTACTTTAATTCTTTGATAGTTCTCACAATTTTGTTTATCTCCTTTTTTATACATAGATGTCAAAAAGCCAATTTTCCATTCTTTTGGAATGTCTTCTCCATTATGACACCTTTTGAATAATTTTGTTGTCATTCTAAATAATTTTTCTGTTCCATTTTTTTAATCAATTCTGCCAGTATTCCTCCAGTACCGCATGCTCTATTATTCTTCAGTTTCTTACATGCTTGTTTAATCTGTTTTGTCTCTAAATGAATTGATATATCCTTTTCTATGTTTATATCTTCTGTCATAAATTGAATTCTATCTTCTGTTAATAAATTTTTATAATATTCTTCCCATTGTTTAACTGAGATAAACTGTCCTTTATTA